CTGACCAAGTATGGCCATTTCATTCCCCTCTGTCACCCTTTTACTGCCGTCACCCTTTTACTGCTGTCACAATTGCCAAGTCATTCTTTTAGCATGTTTATCGCTTACATGGCCTTCCAAGCTCTATCATTTCGGATCGTGACCGCATATTTACAAGTCACTTTTGGTCTGAGCTGTTCAAGCTGGCTGATGTGTCCCTCTACCACAGCACCGCCTACCACCCCCAATCCGATGGTCAGACAGAGCGGCTCAACCAGTGCCTAGAAACCTATTTGAGGTGCTTTGTCCATGCCTGCCCCAACAAATGGAGTCAGTGGTTGCCATTTGCAGAATTTTGGTACAATTCCTGCTTCCATTCGGCCATCGGTCGTTCACCCTTTGAGGCGCTATATGGATATCTTCCGCGTTTCCTGGCTGTTGACACTTCTGTTGTCTCTCATTCAGAAGTCATTGTCTAGGCTTCAGACCGTCAGTGGATGGACCGGCTTCTCCAACATCACCTCAACCGGGCCAAGCATCGGATGAAGAAACAGTCTGATCAACATCGATCAGAGCGCAGTTTTGTAGTGGGTGATATCGTCTACCTCAAGCTGCAGCCGTATGTCCAAACTTCCCTGGCACCTCGCTCCCATCAGAAACTTGCTTTCCGCTTCTTCGGCCCATTCCGTATTCTGGCTCGTGTCGGTTCAGTGGCTTATAAGCTTGAATTACCTGCTCACTCGGCAATTCATCCGGTTTTTCATGTTTCACAACTGAAGAAGGCTATTGGTGCCAATCATTAGGTAATCCCCACCCTACCGTCTGACTTTGCCATCCACTTGGCTCCAGAACAGGTTCTGCAGACTCGTATGGTCGCCCGTGGTCCTTCTACTATACCTCAGGTACTTGTCAAATGGAATAATCTGCCATCGGCGTTGGCTACCTGGGAGGACTTTGAAGCTGTTCGCCAGGAGTATCCATGCACCACTGCTTGGGGGCAAGCAGTGTTCCAAGGGGGAGGGGATGTCAGCCACCGTAGTAACACAGCCCAAGAGCAAGATGGAGCACCCGGAAACCGCCCAGAGGAAGAAGGCCCAGGACGCCAAACTCGCGAGTATTCGGTGAGCAATGGGCTTGAACTCTTCGGCGCTTGCATGTGTGACCGAGGTAAAGCCTTTGTAATGACTATATCAGTTCGGCGAGAGGAAGGGAGTCATCAGGCATTTTGTAAACATTAAACCAAATTCCTAAACTAAGAACTCTTCCGCGCTATCTCTTCTTCCTTCTTCTTCTTCCTCCGATTACTTCCTCCCCAGTTCTTCCCATCTCCTACTGCTATCGCTCACACACGGACACGAAGATGTTGGCGTGGAGCACGGCTCCGATGTGGTAGGAGAGCATGTCCGCCGGATTGGGTTGATACAGCTCCATGCGCCTCCTTGCCCCCATGGATAGCTAGGCGGAACTCACGAGCAGCACCAGTACTGCAAGCACGGGGGCCTTTGGACGAGTTGTAGCCATTGCAGCCTAGTGATGAGTGAGTGATTGAACTGTGGCCTGATGGCTGTATGTGGTGGACTGGTGGTGATGATAGGACATTAGGGATAGGTGTTCATGTGTGACTGTTTTCTGGTGCTAATGAGTGAGGTGAGGTGAACCAGCTGAAGGGCAGAACCACACATTTATAGGGAGTTTGGCCCTTTGGTACACTGAAGTCTGACGCACTCGTGTGTTCCCCGATGCTTCCCTGACGTTTAACGGCGTGCAGATCTCGAGAGACAGCCAGCTACGGCTTGTAGCAAGGTCGTATCCTCTTGCAAGTATCAGTACAGGTCCTGATGAGCTGTTGGGGTGCGTCTAGAACATAAACAACATGCAGGTCAGCGGATTACCACGACCAGACGGGCGACAAAGCTTATTTTGCCACACCGGTGCGGATTCAGCAGACAACGCCCCGCATGTTGCAAGACAAAAGTTCCTTCTTTCCATTAGTGTCGGAGGGAACACAACGAGCCATCCGGATCACAAAAAATGCTGCGTCTAACATGCACAGCATGTGTCGCTAACTCGCTATTGCGGCGGCTGGCTAAATAGCCCCGGAGAATCCTTTGGACGAATGGTGCTTCGTGGTGCATGCAGCTCGTGTGTCGCATCGCTGGTTAGGCTAGATGTGCACGGGCCACGTCGGCAGATCGGCGTCCATCCAGGTGCGGATTGCCCCGCCCCGCCCCGCCCCGGACTGCGGCCTTCGCCGGAACCGGGATCGGGAGGGAGGCCTTATGTGGCGCACATGTTTGCGGATAGAAATGGCATCCGTGAGCGTGGCCGGTGGCTGCCCCCCTCGTCCCTTGGGGAGACTGCTCTGTCCGTGCCTCCATCTAGCTATATTGCTGTCAGTCGACCCTTCTCCACACGACACTGATGAAAGCTCTCGTGGAGCAATGAGCACATGATGACGAAATGTTGGACTTGTGATGCCATGCAAAATGTATGTGTTATGGTCATGGATCTAGGAATTTCAGTCCAAAACATGCATGTCTCCGCAGCCATTTTCGCCTACACATGTATTTACCTCAGTCCACATGGGTTTGATTGGATTGAGGTGAAACTAGTTTTCTCGATCTACTTCAACATATGTGAATTGATGTTGTTACATCTCCATTCAAACAAGCCCTTCGGCGCTTTTTGAACCAAGGACGACAGACTGAAAGGATGCAGCGTAGTGTTGTACCATTGCTTGCTGAGTTGCTTCAAAGAAAGTGTGTCGGGTTAGTAAAATCAAACAAAAAATATTTGCTTAAGCATACTTGTTGGTTTAAACCCCCCTACTAGAACATTATTAAAAAATAGATAAAAAGTGAAGTTACAACCGAAAGATCAAGAAACAGAGAGTCAAGAAGAAAATAGCTAAAATTACACAAAGCCTTCTAGACATAAATCTATAAGTGGATGGTAGGTTGCTTTTGCCCTTAGGATAACTAGAGCAATGAAAACAGCTTTGCATCTCTCGACTGAATGAGCAAAATTGTTGAAGACAATATCATTGTGCATAATCCAAATAGCCCGGTACATTGTGATGATTATTTTCATGAAGAAAGGCAATCTGGTTTGATCCTTGATACTTTCCAAAATGATGAAGACATCAATGGTAGTAGGCAGAAAAATATTTAAGCTAAACCAACAAACCATAGCACAAGTGTAATGAAAAAGAATATGAGAACGTCTTCTTCAACATTCAGAGTGCAAAAAACACAATTGTAGTCTGGAAGGTGCATATTTCTTCGTTTGAGGAGGGATCTGGTGCACAAGCGATCCTTTAGGAGAAGCCAAAAGAAGAACTTCCTCTTATTCTGAGAGTATGATTTCCATAACCACTTGTATGTTCTGTGTATAAAATGGTGGCCAATAGATGATTATATGCTCTACTGAACGAAAAAGATGATCCCCAGATATAGGGCCAAACATCACGGACCGGCTACGACGGTAAGTTCTGAAGAATGACAAATATCTGTTGGAAATGTGCATAGGCTTCAGTACAAAGTGGAAAATGGAATAATGTTTGGTGCAAAGGTGTAGAGCCTGCCACTTTGAGTGATACATGCTGATTCTTAGCGAAGGAGAAAAGCTGTATAAATGCTTGGCTACAAACACGTCCATCCCAAAGGTCATGTCGAACCATTATTTGGATACCATGGCTATACCTTTAAATGGAACTTGTAGTTTGAGAATATCTCGCCACCAAAAAGATCCTCTAGGAACTCTCCTAGAAAACTTGTAGTTCATGAGCCTGATCGAGAAATCAGTCAGGATGCAGCGAGGAAGTGGCGCTGGATCCTTATCTCAAACCTAGAGTGGATCATTATCATGGCCGCCACATGCATGAGGACTTTGTCGTGGATGAACTCTCGGCTGAAATCAGCGAAGGCCTTGCGGGCGTAGAGGTTCAAGTGGTGAGCTAGAGCCAATGGCTCGGCTTCCACGGCACCGGGGGACATGCGGAGGTGGCTTCTCCTCCTCCTGCATGACTGGCTCGGATTCCTACAGGTGTAGGTTCCCAAGCTGATCGGCGACGAAGTCTAGGCTACCGAAGGTGATCTGGACGCCCGGTTCCATCTTCACCACGTTGTCAAAGTTGAAGATGAGACCCATCTAAAACACGTGGGATCTGTGCACAAAAGGACCCTACTTCTTGCGCCAACTTTCGAAGGTTTTGACCCCAGCAATGGAGATCAGCGTATCACGCACACGAAATTAAATGGGTACACACGAAACATGAATTTATACTGGTTTAGGTACGTGGCACCCTACGTCCAATTTAGAGTAGATCTCTTTATCTCGTATGCTCGAGTTTATAAGGGGTTGCTGATGACTAATTGCCTATGCGATTCATCTAGAATGAGTATCATACCGATCAGAAGTTCCCTACCTCGCCATATATAGACCGAAGGTAGGGTTACATCGATGTCGACCGGTTTATAGATATGTTTCATAGTCAGTTATAGAGAAATCATAACAGAATATATACCGACCAAAGCATTTTCAGGTTGTTTGACCACCACGTCTGATGAGGTACATCCCAATACTAATGGGCTGGTATTCGGGGTGGTGAGATACCATGGGTCCATATTGCCGACAATTAAATATGATTTTACTATCTCTATTATAAAAATATTGCTTGACTGGACAAGACTAGCCTTGCTAGGGCTGGAGATCTAATTTAGCTTGCTTGAGTTGGCGAGAAAAATGCTGAAAAACATAGGTCTCGATCAAAATGGTTGTATATCAAAATGCTTTGTCCAACGCAAATTTCTTACCTAACTAGACTACACAGTAGCCAGCAAAAGACCCAAAGGCACCCTTAAAACCTTCCTCGTGACCTATATCCTTCACACTAGCCTCCGAGTTATTTCACAGCCCACGCCGAGTCCATCCACGTTCGGAGTTGTTGCATCCTTGGTAGTCTGTTTGACAAGGATGGTATTGTTGTTGTATCATTTCTGGCAACATTGTTTCCTTAGCCGTTACACCAAAGTCGAACACGTAGAGGTTGCAGGGTCGAACAGAGCGGGAAGCAGGTACTTCCTCCCATTCGCACCATTGGCATTGTAACTCGCCCCCGTCGTGCGGTCCACCGCCAGGTTACCTGCGAAACCGGGGTAGGCGCCGCTGCCATAGACCCCTGTGCAGGCAGTGGCGGCCTCCAGCGGTGCGTCCTTCTCGCCCTGGTAGAACCCGTCGCGGAACGGGTTGGTCACCGTGCCGGCGACCATGCTGGCGATGTTGATGACCATACCGTCCATGCCGACGTCGCCGCTAGGCGGCACGAGCGCCGGCGTCTGGGGTCCGTACAGCGGCTGGTGGAACGGCCACGCGCACTGCCCGGGGCACTGCGTGGCGGAGTTGCCGACCCAGACGTAGGCGGTCCCGGCCCTGGCGTCGGAGCCGTGCAGGCCGCAGCGGCTCATGCAGAACCCGTCCACGGTCACGTCCTGCGCGGTGAGCACCAGCGCGATCCCGCCCTTCTTAGCGCCGACCCGCGCCGCCAGCTGCGGGAGCTGAGACAGCGTGAGGCGCTTCCCCAGCGAGCACCCTTCGTCGTTGACCTGGCCGACGAGCGCCACCTGCGCGCTGCCGCCGGAGCGCGCGCGGTTGCCGCTCATCCGCGCCTTGGACAGGTACAGCTGGTTGATGGTGTTCCACCACTGCGAAACGGACGGGGACGGTGCCGTCGGCGAGGCGGTGGTGAGGGACTGGAGGAAGTCGGTGACCACGGCCTTCTGCGCCGGCGTGAAGCGGCCGTACCAGATGATGGACACCGGGATGCGCCCCTGCAGCACGGCGCCGTTGTGGTACGTGAGGAGCGCGCTGGGCGGCGGCTTGTACAGCTCCAGCAGGCTCCTGCCGCCGCCCACGGAGAGACGTGCCGAGCTCAGGAGCAGCACGGACACCAGCACAAGTGCGACGTGGCTCGTGTTCTGCCAGCCGCGAAAGCAACTATGGGGTGGTGCCATTTCTCACCTTCTTTCTTAGGGAGGGATTGGCGACTTGCTAGTAGACTAGTAGGTGATGATTGAGTGAAAGTGCAGGAGTGGTTTATGAGCGTTGTTTGTGTGGTTTGCGAAGAGTGACGAGGTCGAGTATTTATAGGCCCGAATTCCTCATGTGCCGGTAGTTTCGTGAAGCCTTCCCTGCCCAGCCCATCCCTTGGGTAGCTGCCTTCGTTTTGGTTTTGGAGCGGCTAGCTCTGTCTGCAGCTGGATGCGTTTGGACCCGAGTGCGACGGTGATTGAGTTGTCGCTCGCTTCCACGCCAGGCAGCCACCATGCATACATGCAAGCAGCAAGGCAGCAAGCCACTATTATCTTGCGCGTAGGAGCACTAGTCAAGGCGTGTTGACAAGTATTAGAAAGATTCGAACTCATCAAATTAGAACTACTATCGGCTTGTGCCCGTCCATGATGAGAGCCTTGGCAAGTGGACCTATTTGGCGGGTTTCGGCGGTTCCTTCCTGTCGGCCCGTGTCGGCCTCCTACGGGCCGACAGGGGAGACTGCGCCGTTTTTCCTCCCCACCTTTCCTCTCTCATAGTGACCGCCGGAGCCAGAGAAGCTCGTTTTTCGGGCTCTGCGGCTCCTGTGGCACCTATCGGCCCGTGGGAGGATGACAGGGGCGTAAGCCAGAGCCGGAGTCCTACTAAACAGGTCTAACTTTGTTGCATGGTCGTCGCTCTGAATCTCAAGGCAGCCAAAGAAGAAGTCGACGACTCGACGTCTAGTTCAACAGTCAGCATCCATGCAAGCAGCAAGCCACTATTTCCTTGCGTGTACGAGCACGAGTCAAGCCGTGTTGACTGACAAGTAGCACTAGAAAGAATCGAACCCAAAGTACTAGGACATATCCGTTCGGCTGATGGTATTAAAGTCGGCTGGTAAGCTAGTTGAAAATGATTTTTTGTAAAAAAAAAATACTGTATATTCTAACCTATAAATCGGTTGATAAGTTCAAGCGAACAGGCCTAACTGGTCGCATGGTTGGTTGTCGGTTGTCGCTCTGAATCTCAAGGCAGCCAAAGAAGCTGGTCGACGCCTAGTTCAACAGTCAGCAGTGGTGCTATCGACCCCGTTCGCTAGTGTGAAACTTGACTGAAACTGGCTGAAAAACACTATTCCGGTTGAATTGTTGTGAGTGAAAAACACTGTTCCGGCTGAAAAAAGAAGCCGAACAAGTTAAATATGGGGTAAGCCGAACAGGCCGATGTGGATCATACTCCGTAGTGTTTTTTGGTTGAAAAATTGCCGGGATTGATGCATGATTTCTGCAGGGAGAATGTCGCAAATTAGTCCACACAAGAAACATATCTGAAGATTTATGTTATCATAAGCATTAAGCAGAACCCGCCTTCCCTGTTTTCTGGAAGGGCAACAATTGACGCCGTGTTTGCTGGGCTGGCTGGCTGGGCTGGGCTGGGCTTGGTAGCCACCTCATAAAACACTGTTCATCTGAGCCAACAGTACTTCTCTCACGTAAATGAACCAGTAACGATACGAATCAGCCAACAAACAGGCTGTGAGTACTACTAGTGCAGAGTTTGAACTAGTGACGTATCGGAGCCTTCTCCACGAACAGCAGTGGAAACGAGCAGGGCGATACGGCGGGCATACGGCGACGACCGATCGAGAATCCGAGATGATTTCCTTCCTCACGTGGTCTGTGCCTCGAGGAAGGGAGAGCGCGACACGAGCTCTGCTCACGTGGCATCCAGAGCGCTACTCCATGCCTACTACATCCCGGCCTGAATTGTCTCGTTCTCTTCCTCCTCCATCCTCCCCATGGTTATCCGTCCAGCCGGTCCCTTGACAACCCAACAACCTACTAGTGCTAGTAGTAGTACTACTAGCTACTAGAGTAGCATTAGCACTGACAGTCAGCGGCTAACCATTTCTTAATCAACATCAACATGCATGAGTGCATGACGCTGCGGACGCCCGAACAAGTCGTCGATCACGTTCGAGATGGTGCCGATGGCTGAGGTGATAAGGCCGTCCGGAGAACTAGAGTACAGCCACAGTGGGGACACGCGCGAGACACGGCGCAGCCGGGTTTATGAGCCCTAGGAGCGTCCTGCAAGATGACAGCCTGCCCTGCCTGCCTGCCTGCCTGCCTGCGTCTGCTCACCAAATCCTCTGTCCCGCAGCCCGCGGAGAACTGTACTGTGCCCATGCTTAAGACCAGCCGCCGTAATGCGTACCCGAGACTTGCCGCACTTGTGCATCATCACATCGCTCTACGCGTGATTACGCGTACCATTACTTTGTTCGACAAGTACCACCTGGTGATTTCATATGAATGGATGCGCTGCGGACTGCGGTTGGGTAACCCTACGATTCATGGTAGAATTACTGAAGTTACTGGAGAACTAGAGCTGGAGGCTAATTACTCTCTGCTGAGGAGGCTGCTTACCTGACGGTACCTGTACTGGTACGTGCATTTGCACTTGTCAGCATAAAACAGCACAACTCTGCCTCTGTATCCTGACGGTAAATTCTGGCGGGATAAACAGTACTAGTACTTTATTACTACATGTAAGCTTCGAGTGAGAGGTAGCTACTCTGTACTGTATGTACTTATCATCGGCTTAAATTGCTGCTAGACTGTTCTTGACTGTAAAATGCCAGTACGGCGTCCGTAGTCATGGCTGTTAAGGTAGAGCCGTACTAGTAGCTATACTGCTCGATTCATGATCGTCATGAATCAAGACGTACTCCAGTACTCGCCGTAACTTTTTGACATTTGCTCTGTTGTGTGTTCCCTGTACTGTTTCACAACGAACATGTTAGCCTTGGATGACTTCCCTAATATTTTCTTTTTTCTTTTATCTTCGGAGGTGCATCAGTACGGGCCTAGTTGGGCTATATTTACCGTGCCCGTTTCCCAAGTAACCGTTCCGTGTGCAGGCCTGGCCTGCAATATGTCCGGCTGTGCAGTTTCCATACTTCTATGCGGGCCGCAACCGCAAGGGGCAGGGCTCCCGATTGGCTACAAGCCGAATCTACCGTGACCTCCTTGCAAAATTTACCAGGACGCAGGCAACCGCGAACGGCGATCTACTCCAGCGACAGGCTTGATATAAGCTTCGTCCTCTCCCCGGATCGAAAACAATTAATCACCATAAACGCGTGTTTGAGCCGTTGGACTAACAAAAGTAGAGATAACGTGAAGTTACTCGCGCCAGAACATGTAACTCCCGTGCAAAATGAACTACGCGCATTTCATCCAACTGAATGCAGACATTGCAGAAGCTTTCGAAGCACCGTGCATTTGCCAACTGAACATGCATTCGCATTATTCCGTTTTCGGCTTGCAAGAGCTGGCTGCTAGCTGGCTAGCTGGCCTTCAGACCTTCACGAAACGTTCCAGGAAAGGGGCGCAGCAGGACACGCCAGAAAAGACGAGAGCATCGGTACTGTACTGGCGTGATAGCTCTACGTCCATGCACGCATCAAAACCTCATGAATGGCACGACTAACCTTGCTTGCTGGTCCCATTTAGGCCTCGTTCAGATACGTATGGTTCAATCCACTTAGGTTAAAGTTGATTAGAGTAGAATTAAACTAAGTTCTTTTTTTTTTTTCTATTATTCTCATTCTATTTCATTTCACTCCAACACATTTGAAACAATACTGCTTTTTTCTCATTGCCCTTCAACGACTATTCGCTTCGCTTTCTTTAAAAATATTGTTTGATTCATGGTAAAAAATATTGTTATTCGATTTATTATAAGAGCTCTCTACGCAAATGAAAAAAAACATCCTGTTTATTATTTGAAATAGAAAGGCTCGCGCGCGGAAACGAACGCCAGGGCCTCGTCTCAACGTCTGGGTCGCGTGTCCACGGACCACGGCTGGCGACCGCGGCCGCGGGCGAGCCAGCCAGCCAGCGGGGCACCTCCTCACCGAGCCCGCGAGAGGCCGTTCACGAATCACGAGCGCGCGTGAAGGGATAAGGCCTGGCAGGGCCGCAGCCGACGCCAGCCGCTCCACCACCAGCTGGCGGCCGGCGTCGCCTCGTCTCGTCCGGGGCGCCCGGCGAGCAGGCGCCTTGTTTACATGCCATCTAAATTGGATGTGGACGTTTTTTCTGACACGCGGGCCCTCTCTCCATCACATCAATTTTAAATTGCTCGTCAGTATCAGTATTAAATATAGATAAAACGGGTTTCGCTAACCCCACAGTGACCATCTGTCAGCTCACGGCCTTGCGTGCTGGGATCCTTGGTCACTCGTCAGTTATGTACGGTAACTAATTACACATGCAGTTTAGTTGGAAATCACGATGTACGGTAGATGAATCTTTTGGCTGGTTGGTTACATGATTAAGCATTATTTATGAATATAAGGCGAAAAGTGAAGTCTCGTAATTTTCATCGGGTTCATTAGTTATTTTTTTCAAAGTGAACGAGGCCTGGGTATACGCGTGTCCACGGACCACGGCTGGCGACCGCGGCCGCGGCAGCGAGCCAGCCAGCCAGCGGCTAGCTAGTGGTGGTAGGCACGCGAGCAATAAGCGAGAGGCCGTTCACGAATCACGAGCGCGTCGTGAAGGCGGTAGGGCCGCCTGCCCGCCTTCACCACCAGCTGGCGGCCGGCCGTACGCGGATCTCTTGCGAGCCCACACCGGGGGTCAGGGCATCCGGCCCGGCGAGCAGGAAAGCGCTGGGGTGCGGGGCCGGCGCGCGCGTACGGCCTCTGGGGTGGATGTGGACGTGTGGTCCGCTGACACGCGGGCCCTGCACCTTCGCTCGCTTTACGCCGGCCGCCGTACGCTGATGGGCCTCGTCAGAGATCTCCATCTCATCTCATCCGCGATCCGATCCGATCATGCGAGTGCGTCTTCCCCGATTGGTGACGGGTTTCGCTAACCCCACAGTGACCATCTGTCAGCTCACGGCCTTGCATGCTGGGATCCTTGGTCACTCGTCAGTTATGTACGGTACAAAGACGATGCAGTTGGTG